AAAAAAAAAAAAAAAGATACAGGTATCCACATTGAGATTGTGATGATACAGTCAGTGATACAGATAACTTAATAATTCTCATTTTGTTCTTTTATGGCTTTATAATATACTTAAAAATAATTGGGTTGGCTATGGTGGCTTATGCCTATAAACACAGCACTTTGGGAGGCTGAGATGGGAAGATCACTTGAGACCAGGAGTTCAAAACTAGCCTTGGCAATGTAACAAGACTCAATCTCTACAAAGAATAAAAAAAATCAGCTGGTGTGGTAGCACATGCCTGTAGTCTCAGCTACTGGGAAGTCTGAGGCAGGATTATCACTTGAACCTAGAGTTTGAAGCTGCAGTGAGCTATGATCAGACCACTACACACTAGACTGGGTAATAGAGCAAGGTCTTGACTTTAAAATATCATAGTAATATTTCAGCGTGCATGTGCAATATATAAAGAACATTATTCATTTTATAATTGTTTATAAAATGTACAAAGAGAAATACCTATTATGTTTTTGCCTATAGTTGTTTTTGCATTGATTTCTATATTGAGATTAATTAGAAGACTCTAGTTACTTTTACAAGCCAACTTTATTTTTTTATTTTATTTTATTTTTTGTGCCTTTGTTGCGTTTAATTTTTTTTTTTATAAACAGCAAACATTTATTTCTTACAATTTGGAGGCTAGGAAGTCCAATATTAAGGCAACGCACAAATTCAATATCTGGTAAGAATTTGTTTCTCATAAATAGTACCTTCTCACTGGATCCTTACATGGTAGAAGGGTTCTAGTTAACTTCTCTGATCTCTTTTTCTAAAGGCACTAATCATATTCATAATGGCTCTGCTCTCATGACTTAATTATCTTTCCAAAGCCCCATCTTCTAATGCTATCACGTTGGGGATTATGATTTTTCTTAAATTTCAGATTAATATGAGGATACAAATGATTAGGTTACATTGTTTGCATTTCTTTTTTTTTTTTCTCTTAGTAGTTTTGAAATGTACCATTGCATCATATATATTAGGTAAGGTGCCCCCAAATACCCTCTCTCCTCCCATTTCCCCCCTCCTTTCTCTCTCCTCTTCCCTTCTACTTTGTGGACTGTAGTTATATTTTGCCATTCCTATGAATGTGTAGGTGATTATATATTGATTTCATAGTAATATTGAGTACATTGGATACTTTTTTCCCCATTCTTGAGATGCTTTACTAAGAAGAATATGCTCCAGCTCCATCCAGGTAAACATAAAAGATATGAAGTCTCCATCATTTTTTATGGCTGCATAGTATTCCATGGTGTACATATACTATAATTTGTTAATCCATTCTTGGGTTGATGGGCACTTGGGCTGTTTCCATTCTTTACAAGCCAACTTTTAAAAAGTTTATTCTGGTTATACCTGAAGGGAAAAATAATAGTGACAAAACTTTACCAGGCATTATAACAACTAAAAAGCTGAGCCAGGCTTAGAGTTTGTAGCACAGTGGTGGTTTTGGAGCCAGCCACACACACTGAGGCTGGTGGGTTTGAGCCCGCCCCAGGCCAGCTAAACAACAATAACAACTGCAACAAAAAATAGACCAGCGGGCTCGGTACCTGTAGCTCAGCGGCTAGGGCTCCAGCAACATACACCGAAGTTGGTGGGTTCGAATCCATCCTGGGCCTGCCAAACAAAGACAACTACAACCAAAAAATAGCCAGGAGTTGTGGCAGGTGCCTGTAGTCCCAGCTACTTGGGAGGCTGAGGCAAGAGAATCACTTAAGCCCAAGAGTTTGAAGTTCCTATGAGCTGTGACACCAGGGTGATAGCTTGAGACTCTGTCTCAAAAAAAAGAAAAAAAAGCCAGGCTTTGTGGTGGGCACCTGTAGTCCCAGCTTCTTGGGAGGCTGAGGCAAGAGAATGGCTTAAGCCCAAGAGTCTGAGGTTTCATTGCAGTGAGCTGTGACACTACGGCACTCTACCCAAGTGAAACTGTCTCCAAAAAAAAAAAAAAGAAGCTGAGCCAACTGTCAATTCTGAGTCAGAAATAATTTCTGTAGGAGTATTTTACTTTGTATTTCAGCTTCTCTTTTAGTTATGACATCTTAAAGATACTACATTTCATAATGGTATTTCTCTTTTCTGTTCTTTAAACATTCTTAGGAAAGATGTTCTCTTGACAGAGATATTCACTAGCATTTCAGGGATTCGTGTATTGCTAGAGGAATTTAAATATATCAAAATAGCATTTTAAAAATGAACTTATAAAAAAACTATTTCTTAGGAGAAAATCTTTGCAACTTGGGGGTAGGCAGTGGTTTCTTTCTCAGAATACAAAAAGCACTAATCATAAAAGAAGAAAATTGATAAATTAGATTTTCTTAAATTAGAGGCTCCTATTCTTCAAAAGACACTGTCAAGAAAATTAAATGGCAGGCTATACCTAGGAGAAAATATTTTGACAAAGGACTTATATCCAGAGTTTATTTTAAAACATAACAAACAAAAAACCCTAATAACTTAGTTAGAAGACAGACAGCCATTTAAAATATGGAGAGAAAACTTGAGTAGATATTTCACAAAAGATGAAATTGGAATGGCCAAAAAGCACATGAAAAGATATTCAACATCATTAGTATCAGGGAAATGCAGTTTAAAACCATTTCTGGTCTGGGTGTGGTGGCTCACAGCTGTATTACTAGCACTTTCAGAGGCAGAGGCAGTAGGATTGCTTGAGGCCAGGAGTTCAAGATCATCCCAAGCAACATAGTGAGAACTAATCTCTACAAAAATTAGAAAAATTATCTACTTAGGAGGCTGAGGCAGTTTGAGATTTCAGTGAGCTGTGATGATGCCCCTCTATTCTGGCCCTAGCAGCAGAGCAAGACTTTGTCTAGGGGGCACACACACACACACACACACACACACCAAAATTAAAAAAAATTTGTCACTATAGTTTCTAGAACATAATCTGTAATGGATCACCAGGACAGAGGGAATGTGGAAATGTCTTATGTCTTAATTAGGGTAGAGAGTACATGTCACAAATACTAGAATAACTAAAATTAAGAACACTGTCAGTACCAAGTTGTGGAGCAACTGAAACATTGCTAGTAAGAGTATAAAATGGTATAGCCACTTTGGAAAACATTTTGATAGTTTCTTGTAAATTAAACATCCACCTTTAACTCAACAATTTTACTCTCAATTACCCAAAAGAATTGAAAGCATATGGCCAGAAAAGGTGTTTTATAGCAACTTTATTTTTAATAGACCAAACTGGAAACAAGTCAAATGACACACTGGGAGAAAGGATTGTGGATTACAGTGGAATACTCACCATTTAAAACAAATGAACTACTATATACACACCAGTATGGAAAAAAAAATCTCACAGGTATTAAGCTGAGTGAAAAGCTAGATGTAAGAGTACATAATATAATGATTCTATTTATGTGAAATTTCTTTTTTTTTTTTTTGAGACAGAGTCTCACTTGGTCACTCTCAGTAGAGTGCAATGGTGTCACAGCTCACAGCAACCTCCAACTCTTGGGCTCAAGCGATTCTCTTATTTTAGCCTCCAAGTAGCTGGGAATACAGGTGCCCACCACAATGGCCGTCTATTTTTAGAGATGGCAGTCTTGCTGTGGTTCAGGCTGGCCTTGAACTTGTGAGCTCAGGCTGTTCACCCGCCTTGGCCTCCCAAGTGCTGGGATTACAGGTGTGAGCCACTGTGCCAGCGTATGTGAAATTCTTGGACAGATAAATAGTGATAGCAGATCACTTGTTGCCTGTGGCAGGTATGGTGGGGTAACTGCAGAGAGTAACTTTCTGGGGAGGTAGCAATTTTCTGTTTTGATTGAGGTAGAGGCTACAGTTATGAAAAGTCATCAACCTCTGTACCTTAAATTGGATTGTATTATATATAATCATACTTCAGTAAATTTTCTTTCTTTTTTTTTTTTTTTTTTTGCAGCTGCCCCTTGTCCCCAGTAAGGTTGATTTTAAAAATAGTTTGCTTTAATTTTTAAAATGTATTTTTGAAGTAAAATTTCCATGATATTACTCATTTTACTTATTTATGTATTATTTTGATTAATGTATCTGTAATATTTCTAAGATAGTGATGTTGTGAATGACAGCTCTCATTTAGGTACACTTTTAGGTGAGCATAATCCCAGGCAATTACTGTATCTTGTGTTACAGGATTTCTGAAAAGCTGTGTTTAGAACTCATCCTGGCAACATGAGTCTCCTCAAAGTTAGCTCAGTTTGCATAGAGCATACCTGAAACTTATCATTGAGAATAATTTGGAGATTGTGAAGTTCTTTTCTCTGGCATTTTAGTTTATAATTTCATTGATTTTATTAAAAGTGATATTGAGTAATAATACTGTTGTTATTAATAGTGATACCTGTCAATTATTTTTAAATTATTTGATACTATTTGAAGTAATGAACTTTTCCTCCTTTTCTCTTTAGCCCATTCTTCAGTGAAGAATTTTACTTTGAGATTCCAAGAACTTTCCAATATTTGTCTTTCTATGTTTATGATAAGAATGTTTTACAAAGAGACCTTCGCATAGGTATGTACTATTTATAATTATCTTTATTTTATTTTATTTTAGCTTTCACCTCATTTACTTGATTATTGTGTTAAGACTTTTATGTTCGAGGTTGCTGTGAGCTGTGATGCCACGGCATTCTACCCAGGGGGACAACTGGAGGCTCTGTCTCAAAAAAAAAAAGACATTTATGTTCTACACTTGACAGGTTTGACTTGTACCCTTGCAATATGCTCCATAGATGTGGTCCCGGCTTTTACCCTCTCTCTATCAAACCTCCCCCCTCCCCTCCCTTCCCACTCCATTTCTCTCCTTCATCCTGGGCTATAGTTGTGTTCTATCTTTCATAACAAAGTGTACTATTATAATTATTTTTAATCACAACATTGATACTTATCTTCATTCTTTCTTTAAGTGTAAAGTGTTGAAAATTTCAGAATAATATATGCCCTGTATTTCTAATCCATTTCTCTAAACTTTGTGTTCATTTATGAATTTGATTTTTAATTTGTATATTTAGTTTAAATAACACTTTCTTGGGGAGGAGGCCTCTGCTGATCCCCTGGTCACTGTGTCATATGTTTCCTTACTGCCTGTGGTTGCCTTTCCATGGTGCTCATTTGTTCCTTGTTTAATATCTAGATTCTTTAGTTAAATGTGATATTTATGAGGACAGAAACTGTGTCTCACAGAGTGCCTTACATTTAGTGAAAGTTGGTTATTTGTTCAGTGATTCAAATAATGTTTTTATACAAAGGTTTAAAAATGGACCTTTTGGAGAACATCTGTTTTTGAGATTTTTTAATAGAGGTAATAATTCACTTTAGTTGTAGTTTTCTCTCTGTCAATATTGTCTATATTGATAATATATTTATTAAAGAATTGTCTGATACTGGGGTGCAGTCTGTGGGCATGGACTAGAACTAAGCTGACTGGCCACATATTTGTCACATTCAGGGTCTCTTTTTTTTTTTTTTTTAAATACAAGAGCACAAATCCACTGTTATTTACTTTTCATCAGTTTAAAGCCTTGAGGGGCACAACATCACACAAATTCTATGTCCAGTGGCCTTAGCAGGAAGGTTACTTTGGAATTTGGCGTGAACCATGCCGCTGTTTCCTTGGGCCCGAGTTATCTTTCTCCAGGTTACCCTGACTTTGTACAGTTTGCTGCCAGGAGTCACTGTGGTGGTCTTTGCTTTGTATACATAAGCACATCTCTTGCCCAAATAGAATTCAGTTTCATCTCGGCATAAACACCTTCAATTTTAAGAAGAGCTGTGTGCTCTTCTTGGTTCTAGAGACCCCGCTTATAGCCAGCAAAAATGGCCTTGGACATACTTGGCCTTCCAGACATATTTGCCTTTTAGAAGTCCTGTTCCCAGCAAACCTCCATAGGCCCCAGGATCCACATTCATGGTCTTTGTGCCACTCCCTTGTATTTTAATAATAGGCAGAAGTCTAGTTAACATTATTGTCCTCTTTAGTGTTTTTGAGTTTCATCATCTTCATCTCCTTTCTGATTTGAAACGTGGTCAAGTCTCCTACAGCTTAGAAAATTAAGCTTTACTTGACTCTGTCCTCTTAACTAAACTCTAATCTTTCTTTCTCTGCTTTTACTATTGAACTCTTTTTTTTTTTTGAGACAGAGCCTCAAGCTGTTGCCCTGGGTAGAGTGCTGTGGCTTCACTGCTCACAGCAACCTCCAACTCCTGGGCTCAAG